CACCCTAGGCAGAAGGTGCGATCAGCACCCCTGCCTGCACGGCCGTCAATGACCGTGATGTTATCACGGGGCACCCCGGTGGCACCCTAGGCAACTGCCTAGTTTGCCTAGGTTCACGGGCTGCCTCTGTTAACAGGTGTGTTGTGAGCAAGACACAAGAAGTCATTCTTCCACTCTACTCTGCGCTGATTAAGCCTCAGTTGGAGTATTGTGTCCAGTTCAGGGCACCACATCTCATGAAAAGTGTGGAGAAATTGTTGAAGGTCCAGAGAAAAGCAACAAGAATGATTAAAAGTCTAGAGAACATGACCTATGAAAAAGACTGAAAGAATTGGGCTTGTTCAGTTTGGAAAAGAGAAGATTGAGAAGGGACATGATAGCGGTTTTCAGGTATTAAAAGGGTGTCATAGAATCATAGAACCATAGAGCTGGAAGATACCTCAGAAGGTCATGAAGTCCAGCCCCCTGCCCTAGGCAGGACCAATCCCAACTAAATCAACCCAGCCAGGGCTTTGTCAAGCTGAGACTTAAAAATCTCTAGGGATGGAGACTCCATTACTTCCCTAGTTAACCCATTCCAGTGCTTCACCACTCTTTAGTGAAATAGTTTTTCCTAATATCCAACCTGGACTCTCCCACTGCAACTTGAGGCCACTGTTCCTTGTTTTGCCATCCGTCACTACTGCGAACAGCCTCTCTCCATCCTCTTTGGAACCTCCCGTCAGGAAGTTGAAGGCTGCTATCAAATCCTCCCTCCCTCTTCGCTTCCGCAGACTAAACAGTCACAAGGAGGAGGGAGAAAACTTGTTCTTCTTGGCCTCTGAGGATAGAACAAGCAGCAATGGGTTTAAACTGCAGCAATGGAGGTTTAGGTTGGACATTAGGAAAAAGTTCCTAACTGTCAGGGTGGTTAAACATTGGAATAAATTGCCCAGGGAGATAGTGCAATCTCCATCTCTGGAGTTATTTAAGATTAAGTTAGATAAATGTTTATCAGGGATGGTCTAGACAGTATGGGGTCCTGCTGTGAGGGCAGGGGACTGGACTCGATGACCTCACGAGGTCCCTTCCATTCCTAGTATTCTATGACATTTCTTAATCCTGTGAAGGGGTCACTGTTGAGCTGTGTGAAGCCTTCCTTTCCCAGGTGGGCTGAACGTGTGATATTGTAACCCACATTCCTTCTGGGTGTGGTGTATGGTTCCATCTAGTGGCGCTGAGATCACTTACAGAGAAAATAATGAGTGCTCTACAGCTTTAGCCAGTGAGGAGCAACCTAGGCTAGAGAGTGGGCTGCATAAGTGGCCTTCCTTTATCTCAGTGGGTCGCAAGAGTGTAGTAACCAAGACTGTCTCCCGGGTTAGGGTAGTTTTGCTAACCACACTTGTGCGCCTAGAATTTGCAAGGTGTGCCGATTGCACCATAGCAGTACTTTGGTTGGATCCAGAGGGAATGCACAATCCTTGAAACCAATTGTAGCCAGGTCTCCCTGGCGGCAGGGTGACCTAGTGGTTAGATCCCTGAATTAGCTGGCAGGAAAGGGGTGCAGAACCCTGCCACTGGTGCCCCAGCCTAGAAACTCCAGCCCACTATATGGGTATAGTTGGGGGCAGGGCCCCAAGAGTCCAGATTTTCCCCTTAGCTAGGATTCTAGCAGGTTTCCCCTTTGTCCTAGGAGATGAGGTTAGAGGCTTACATTCTCCTGTGGCTGGCCAAGTGGACAGGCTTTGGTTCCTGTCCTGCAGACAGCAGAACCACTCTCCTGTCTCCTGGCTCGTCAGCCCCTAACTGTGCCAGGCTCCTTCCTTTTATCCTTCCTTCAAGCCTGACATTGGCTACAGGTAAAGCAGGGTGGGGCTAGCTGGGCCAAAAGGCTTTGTTTGACTCCTGTGATGCCAGGCCCGCCTCTCTTCACTCCCTCATACCAGTGTTGTGTGCAATTTGCTTGCACCTGATTTCACGTGCACTCGCTTTATATGCATGCCACTTTAGTAATACCTTTAGGAAAAAAACTACATGGTTGAAAACCAGCAGAGTCAGGCAACCCTGTGTGTGGGCAACTGTAAACAAAATGTTTGGCAAAAAGTTACTTAGAACCCTGTTGGCCACATGTGGCCCTTGGGCTGCAGGCTGCCCACCACTGGTCTTAGCTAGCAGCCAGTTGGTTTTAGCTTGTGTGGTAGAAGCTCATGCTCTAAGCTCCAGAGGTTCCAGGTTTGATTCTGCCAGCAGATGAGAGGGGTCTGTCAGTGTTATACTACCTTCCAAGTGCGCTCAGCTTCTGCCAACCCCAGAACATGGGGCTCTGTATTTTTGCTTCTGTGTGTGTAACTATATTCAGTGGGCTTTGAATCAGGTCCTTAGTGAAGTCAAAGGCCATCTTTCCATTGATTTTGGATCAGGCCCTACATTTTTGTTTAAACTGTGCAAGATCCCTACCCTATTTTTAAAAAAATCCATTTTTAAATGTTTGTTTTCAAGAAAACCCTAGCAGAGCATCGCCCGGTACCTTGATGGTTGAAGCAGTCTGTGATGGGGATTGGAAACTGACCATTGGGCCACACGCTGTGAATGGGATGGAGGACAACAGCAGCAGTGGAAAGGGAACTCACTGTGAGTCAGGGGCTAAGACAGATGATGGTTCCGCTGTAAGGAACTCAGAAGCCACAAGAGAAGAATTTGAGCCCACACAGTCTGAAGAGGATGTTTTTACCAATGTAGGTGAGTGTTCCCAATAAATCTACCCGCTGCAGGAGTGTAGACTTTGGGCAAGAGATTGTTCAGCCAGTTCTTTTAACTTGCTTTTATCGGATTTTCTTCCAGCTTGTTCATTGAACAGTGTTCACACTAGACTTTCCCCCTCACAATATGGTAAAGGACCAAAAATAGCTAGGGAGGAAAGAACTGTGGAGAGTCGGTCTGTGTCAAAAGCTGGGGACAGATTTCTAGGTGTTTCTCTCCATTTTAGCAGACGCAAATTGCAAATGCATTGGTGGTGCAGTTTTGTGCTCACAGTATGAGTCATTTGGAGTGTAAAGTTCATAGCTGCACCAGAAAATGAGAGTTAGACCTAAACAGCAGGTGCAAAACTGAATCTGTAAACGTCAATGCTCAGTCAAGAGACACTCTGGCATTCAGGAGGCCTGAGTTTTAGTCCCAGCTCTACTACTGACCTGCTATGTGACATTAGGCAAGTCATTTCTCCTCTCTGTAAATTTTTTTTCCCTCTCACTATTGGTTTGGCTTCAGATCAGGGACTGTCTCTCACCACATTTGTATAGTTCCTAGCATAGCAGAGCCCTCATATTGGTGATGGCTTGCATTATCTGTGATACCAATAATATTAAGACAAGGCTAACGATTTGATCTTTAATATCGTCCGTTTCTCTTCCTAAGTTTTGAGAATATGTGATAAAAAAGTTGGAAAATGAAATAAAGTACATTTGCAGTAGGTAATTCCTCTTTTATGGTTATTTTTAAGTCTACTTAATTCATCAGAATCTTATTTTCATTAAGGTCCATCCAATTGGATTGAATTATACTCAAATCAGTGAGATGATTTGTCTTCAGTAACACAGTGGGCCAGAGATGTAAGATTGTATAACTTAAGATTCCTTCATGCTCAGATTCTATTATAAAGTAACAAGTTATTAGATGTACTTACGTGACAGGGATGTTGATGTAACCTACACATTCAGGAGCCACAGGATGGTCATCCTACCTTAATTTTCACTTTCTTACAGTGTCAGTTGCTTTCCTTGCTGCACTTCTTTCTTTGCCCCATCAGGAGGGATGTGTGTGTATTAACATGATTTTGTACTCCCTTAGGGTATGTCTACACTAGCCCCCTAGTTCGAAGTAGGGAGGCTAATGTAGGGATTCAAAACTGCAAATAAAGCCCGGGATTTAAATATCCCGGGCTTTGTTTGCATGTTCCCGTCCGGTCGCCATTTTGAAATTCCACTAGCCTGAAGTAACTGCCCGCGGCTACACGCGGCAGTGAAACAGCAATTCGAACTAAGTCCTTAGTTTGAATTAACTGTTACACCTCATTCCAGGAGAAATAACAGTTAATTCAAACTAAGGACTTAGTTCGAATTGCTGATTACTGTTTCGCTGCAACATGTAGCCGCAGGCAGTTACTTCAGGCTAGTGGAATTTCAAAATGGCGACTGGATGGGAACATGCAAATAAAGCCCGGGATATTTAAATCCCGGGCTTCATTTGCAATTTCGAATGCCTACATTAGCCTCCCTAGTTCGAACTAGTGGGCTAGTGTAGACATACCCTTAGATTCAGTGGATCAAATTCCCAGCTGATTTGTAAGAAGGATTTCATGCAAATTATGTGTAAGTGCATGAGGGTTCAAATATGAGTAAGTCTAGAATGAGTGTAAGTTGGTGCACTTTCAGAGCATCAGAAAGAGAGATAAACTTCCTGAAGACTAATGGTATTTCTACACTGCAGTCTGATGTGTGACAGCAGGATAGGTCACACTATGCTAGTGTGTCTAAAAATAGCAAGATAGACATGGGTGGCACAGGCTCAGCATGGGCTAGTTTATATACCTAAAATCCAAATCACACTTGCACAGCCCATGCTGAAAGCCATGCCATCACGTCTATACTGTATTTTTAGCCTGTCTTGCACAGAGAACCATGGGTGTATCTGCCGGTGCTACAGTCCCCGGTCAGGTTGCAATGTAGACAAATCAGAGGCTAACTTTTTCAGACTTCATGGTCCTCCCAACAGTTGCAGCAGCATTGTCCACAGGGTTGGGGAGGAGAGAGACTGAAACATTTTGAATGTGTCTGTTTGAAACCATGTGCACCAATTCTGAATGCCTTGTTTGGATTTGGGTTTGTTTTTTAATCCAGGAACATGGGATGTTGCAGAAGCAAAAGCTTATCCTCTAACCTTTGGGACTTTACCAGAGCTGTCTGTGGAGTTAAGTGAGTGGTCTTTCTGTGGACACTTTTTATTCACTTCCTCACACATTTTTAAACATCCACATTCCCAGATATTCAGGCACTTAATAATTCTCCCCACCATTATTAGCAGTATTTCAGTGTTTTCTCTCACAGCTTGTTCACGTTTGAAATCCAATGCTCCAATCTTATAGTGACTGATTTTAGTGTATTTCCTTGAACACAGTCCTACCCTTTGTGTTATCCTTGTATGACTTTAAAGCTGCAGATATATACTTACCAGTTATTTTAAAAAATCTAAATAGTACCATATTGATCAATAACTAACTACGCTTTAGATCAGATAACGAGAAAACACCAACCCCTCCTCAAATATTGCTCCACCAGCAAACTCTCTTCTCATAATCCACCATAAATATTTGGGCTATGCAATGTGTCCTGAAAGCTAGCTAATTCAGGCTCTATCAGACCAAGGGAGAAGGGTGGGAAGCCACAGTTCAGCCTTGTGGAGAACACTTTAGCAGTAACATATTCATTTTTACATGTAGGGAATTCTAGCTTGAGATCCTCTGCTGATTACAACTGCCGGGAGAGAAGCAGTCTTTTTTGGACTTTTCATTTCACTTCAGCTTCATCTGTGCATTCCCATATCTCACCTACAATTGTATATGCTTCTTCTTTTGTCTATATGGGTCCTGAGTGGTTGAAGTAGTGACACAGTAGACAGCATAACACTGACTTACCACTGTGCAGTACTGATGAGCAAAAAGGTGGATGTGGAGTTTAAGATCCAGAATTCTTATTAGAATATTTTGAAAAGATTTAGTCTTGTATTGGTTTGTATACAAGACTCTCCATTGACTTCAACAGGAGTTTTGGATGTACAAGGAATGCAGAATCTGGTCCTAAACATTTAGGACATGTTAAGTGAAAGCATGCATACCAGTTTTCCCTCTAAGCTGCATGGCAGCACAGCTTCGCAGGTGATTAATCAGCCCCACCCAGTCAGAGGCTCAGGGCTCCATGCCATGCATCTTAGAGGGAACACTGATGCATACATATATACATACAGCATATATGTTGAGCTGTGCAAGCCAAAAAAAACATAATTCTGCCCCACAGCAAGACATTTCATATATTTTTCAATCTTGCATTAACCCAGTGGTCTGAGATATCACGAGACAACATGAGAGAGACAAACATCATTGCTCTCATCCTTGCTACAGGGTAGAAACTGCAGAAACAGAGAAAATATTTAGGGAAAGGTTGAAAAAAGGCCACAGAAACCAGCAAAATATCATATTATTGGACATGATGAAGAGTCAACAACAATATTAAGAGAAGAACTAATCTATAATATAAGTAGTATCAAAGATCAATGTTCTGTAAGGAGTTACTTAGCACTTGTAATAGTGAACTCTGCTGTTTTAATTACTTAAAGAGAGGCTAGATTGGCACGGACGCTTTTGCGCAAAAGCACTTTTTGCGGAAAAGCGTCCGTGCCAATCTAGACGCAGTCTTGCGCAAGAAAGCCCCGATGGCCATTTTTGCCATCGGGGCTTTTTTGTGCAAAATGGTTCTCAGTTGTCTACACTGGCCCTCTCTTGCACAAATGCTTTTGCACAAGGGCTTTTTCCCGAGTGGGAGAGTCATTGTATTTGCGCAAGAACACTGATGATCATACATTAGATCGTCAGTGTTCTCGTGCAAATTCAAGTGGCCAGTGTAGACAGCTGGCAAGTTTTTCCGCTAAAGCAAATGCCTACATGTAAAAAGGAATAACTAAAGGCCTGATTCAACTCTCTTTCAAGTCAGTAGGAGTCTTTCCATTGACTTAAATAGGGGAGTTGGATCTGGCTTTATATCAGATGTATAATGGATGAGGTTTTTGTTTTAGGGACTGAAACTCCAATTTGACATCCCAAAAGTCATTTGCCAGCCAAACAGATTACGACTTTGGACAATACATGCTCAATCACTGTTCAGAGGGATATTCTGATAGTAATGTAATCATGTGCTGTCCTTGTTCAGCCTTTGAATAAGTTCAGTGTTATGAGCAACACAAATTAATTTTTGCAGATTAAATTCCATAATACTGCAGCTGTGCTGGTCAGGAAAAGATTAATTGGCCTTAACAACGTGAATATATCTAAGTGATTGTTTTTGGTTTTGTTTTTTATTAAAAGGCGTACTTGTTTCTATTCAGGTAATCTGAAGAGTAAATCATCTCAGGATGGCCCCTCCAAATATCACTGGAATGCCAGCTTATCCTTCCTCGCAGTGGATGATGCATGGCTTGGCCAGCGTATGTTCATTTTCTGACTGATTAATTTGTTCATTGTCTGTGGAGAGATGAGTGCAGGTTGCTTTTTGCCTTTGTCATTTGAGCATAAAAAAACACACACCATCTACCAACGAAGTATCTTTTGGCCAGTGGGACTGCTTGTTTGAGGAAGCCAAGGAGTAATCAGTTTGCTCTCAGGGTACAATTCAGATCGGTCTGATTTTCTGAAGTGCTGATTCACTCCAGCTTGAAATCAATCGGAACTGCAAGTGCTTTACATCTCTAAAAATCTGGCCCATATTTAATAATATGGTCAATTGTCATTTAAAAAGTTTCTTCATGCATCTTTTATAAATACACTTCATTTGGTTTTTTTTTGACATTTACAAATCAAATTTATTTTTTAGCATTTAGTTGTATATCTTGGGCACATCTATCACCTTGAACAAGATTCTTCATTATTTTTTACAATATATTTCTAATGAATTTCTTTTCCAGTTTCTTATGCTCGAACATAGTGCTGCAGTGTTTGTGTTGCAGACATTTCAGGGAATTGTTTATTTATTTGTTTTTAAGATTGTGTTATTTTTTTAACATTCACAGAAACATTTTTAATTTCATAAAACTTGGGTTTTGCAAAACCTAAATTTGGGAGTAAATTTGACTTTACAGTATCTCTTTAAAGATTTGTTTTATAATAGAATGTCAGCATGAATTTTGAAGATTTTTCACTTTTGTTAAAATGACAGTTAAAGGAACACTGTGGATATAATTTCTAAAATTTAAAAAACATGTTACTAGTCAGCATTGGTTATTAAAATTAAAAACAAAAGTTAGATTTGTTTTTTATTATTTCATAGATTCCAAGGCCCAAAGGGATTATTGTGATCAACGTACTTTGAGTATTTTGTTTAGTTTCACTATCCAAATTGAATGAAGTGAGAAGAGTAAAGTGGACAGCTAGTAGCTGATTTCACATCTTGTTTTCCATGTACTAGCATGATGCTGGAATGTTTGGAGGAAATGGTTTCATTGATAAATTTTTAATTTTTTTTTTTAATAAAAATATTCATATTAACATATGTTAAACTTATTTAAAAAAACAGAACCTAAATGGGGATCCTGTTAGTGTCCCTTAAAACATGAGGAGTGAAATCTTGGACCCCATGAAGTCAGTAGGAGAACTCCCATCAGTTTCACTGAAGTCAGGATTTCAATGAAGGTTTTCCACTGGAAAGTGTTTTTTTAATTTTATAATCTGTGTGAAAGATTTATATGGATAGGAAGATGAGGTTGGCACAAGCAGTGGCCAGATCCAGTCTGCACAGTGAGAGACTCAATGACCTAGCCTATGCAGATGACCTGGCCTTGGTTGTCGACAGCTCAGAGAACCTCCAGCAGATGCTCGATGTCACCAGCTGAGCTGTCAAGTGGATGGGCCTCCACATTAATGCAAAGAAGTGTGCCTCCCTCCACATTTAGGGCAGCATCAGGGATCTGGTGAGTCCCATGTGGTTTTACTGGCATCTAGGTACACCCACAAGAGTTCACGTCCAACAGACCTCTGAGGATACAATTGAAGAGATTCTGCAAGATGTGACCTTCATCGATGACTCTCTGCTCGCCCCATGGCAAAAGATAATGCACTGAACATGTTCCTGATACCCCACATCTCATCCTCATGCGCTTGGCCATGGCACCCCCTGGACACAGCAGACAACGCCATCCAGCAGCTGGTGAGGAAATGACTCTGCCTCCCCCAGAGGGCCAGGACGTATATTATCTATATCTCTCAGAGGCAGGGCACCATCAACGTTCCTCAGATGGGCGATCTCTGCAACATGGTGGCGATCACCACATCTTCCACATCCTGACGTGCCTGGAGCCGAGTGTGAGGAGCATCACTGAGAGCACAGTGTGGGACATGCTCAGGAAATGCATCCCCAGGGCTCCTCTGAGCAGGACGTCGCCACGTACCTCAGCAGTTCACTGGAGGCCGAGTTTGGGAGAGGTGGGGAGACCTGTCCTTGCAGTACCTTATGACGACTGGGGAAGAGGATTGGCTGCTGCTGGACATAGTTGAGAAGTGCCAAGAGCTGGGAGTCCTGGTGCTGCACGTCAAGACCTGGAGCCCGGGGTTATGAGGTTCATATTCACGTCTTGCTCAGAGAGGGCTTGGGCACGTGGAACTCCCACTGTGAGTTGGTGCTACAAAAGTGCAGCCTTGGTCTGCACCACACCCAGCTCATGAGGCAGCTGATGGTGTCTGACACCACCATCAGTGCCAGGATGACAGACTAAGATGAGGGACATGGCCAGGAAACCCCCCTTCTTCCTTCACTAAACAAGACTATATATCCTTTCACAGGAGACACACAAGACTGCTGATCAGGGACATGGATGAGTGAATGAGACCGCTGCTGAGAGATATGGTTAAGTAAATCACCTGCGTCCTTTCCTGATGGATTGTGTATCTTTTCACTGAAGACCCACAAGACACGGACAGACCATGAGACACACTCCACTAAGTGATGCACTCCACCCATGTTCCTAAGTGCTTAAACTGCCATAGACGGTTATTCTGTGCCCTTTATAGGTCGCATCCCTGAGGACACTTATTCACTGATGCATCAAAAACCCACCCTCCTTAATCCGGGACAACGCTGATTATGTACTGCTATGTATCTCATTAACCGTGTAAACCAATACTTGTATTTCCTCATAACTCAAGCTTAACCTGGGATGTACAGTGCCTTCCTTTTTAACTTGTATCTTGTAAACTTTATTTGGAACATTAGCTTTAATAACACCTTTTCAATCTAATTACACTTCTGCCGGTGGGATACTCTATCTTGCACGATTGCTTTCATCTCTACTTTCTATGGCCATGATAACTAACAAAGCTATGATAACTAATGATTGAATAGAAGAAGCAGATATTAATCTGCTGGCATCTTTCCATTTCTGCCCAGCACTAATTAAGATTCTGGAACAGATGCACAGCTTTCCTGTCACTGGATTTTATAAATAACATGTTCCCAGACCATTGCTCACTGGAGCTGTTTAGGTGTGCCAGGCATTTGGCATTATAATTTCTGAGCCTAGTCCTGGCTATACATGAGTAAGGAGGAAGACAGGATAGGTGCTCTTCCATTGGTATTTCCTTGTATTTTATTTGGCATATGCTACTGTTTGAGCATTTTTTATTTGATTCCCAGATGGATAGGAAAACAGAGCTCTTCTGCTTCCACGGAATGGCATCAAGTTTAACTGATGGCTTGAATATAGAGCTGTGAACTCAGCAGCTGTTGCTATTTACTGTTCATTTTAATTGAAAGAGGAAATGGAAAGTTTTCTGCACACAGCAGCAGCTTTTTTGTTATTTATTATTATCATTATTATTATTACTATTATTATTACTACAGGATAGCAGATGGAAGGAAAATGTCACTAGAACATACTTCTTCGATTTAGTTGAGATAATGCCTGGCATTTGGGTTTGTGCTGGCATGTGACTTAGCTTTTTAAACAACGCCTATTAACTCTTTCACATATGAGGGCTGTGTCTACACTGGCCACTTATTCCGGAAAAACAGCTGCTTTTCCGGAATAACTTGCCAGCTGTCTACACTGGCCCCTTGAATTTCCGGAAAAGCACTGACGATCTACTGTAAAATCATCAGTGCTTTTCCAGAAAAACTATGCTGCTCCCGTTCTGGCAAAAGTCCTTTTCCGGAAAACTGTTCCGGAAAAGAGCCAGTGTAGACAGCACAGATTTCTTTTCCGCAAAAGGCCCCGATCGCGAAAATGACGATCGGGGCTTTTTTGCAGAAAAGTGCGTCTACATTGGCACGGACGCTTTTCCGGAAAAAGTGCTTTTCCGGAAAAGCATCCTGCCAATGTAGACGCGCTTTTTCCGAAAATACTTATAACGGAAAACTGTTCCGTTTTAAGCATTTCCAGAAAATCATGCCAGTGTAGACGTAGCCGAGGACTAAATATGTCACTTTGAATGGAAGACTGCAAGAGGTTACTCCTACCCATTGAGTCAATTCCTTTTCATTTCTCTAGCAGTTTTTTGACAGGTGTGCATAGTGGTGAGAGCAAGGGATGAAGCATCATGAGCCTGGGGCTGTATTCTTAGCTCTGCTCCAGACTCATGGGCAAATTGCCCTCCCTGATAATAATAATGACCTATTCCACTGCATGTGGGGTGAGTTGCGACTTGTGTCCCAGCAATCAGTGTTAACAGTTTATCTGGTAGGCTGAGGAAAAAGTCTCCAGTCTGGAGTTAATAGTTAATAACACTGCTTTTGTGAAAGTGGCCAAGGGATCTTTTGGGGTACATACTGTATTTACTACACACTTATTTTGAAATAAGCTATTCTGGAATAGTTATTCCGAAATAGCTTATTTTGAAATATCACATCTACACTGCAGGGAGACCTCAAAATTAGTCTGAGGCAGGCTTCCCTAATATAGACTTGTTATTTTGATTTAAAGCCCCAGGAGGCACTGGGGAGGAATAACTTAGAATGGCCTTGATGAGGGGCTATTTCGAAATAGCAGCATTGGAGCATCTATACATGCCTTATTTTGAAAAAGCTATTTCAGTGTAGGTGGTTATTTCTTGTAGAATGAGATTTACAGATTTCAGAATAAGCCGTCTGTTATTTTGAAATTATTTCAAAATAATGGAATGGCTGTGTAGACACTCGCATTGTTATTTTGAAATAACACTAGTGATCTCGAAATAACAGTGCAGTGTAGATGCACCCTTAATGACCGCAAGGGTAATTTTTACATATTATTCAGAAGACGTCATCTTTAGAAGCACAGTACCTCAGTGTCACAGGGAATTGGTTCATTATTGACCCAGAAGGGAACATATGACTGTGATACCAAGCACTATGGGTGTAGTTTAGGAGGATGGAGGGCATTGCTCCCCCCGACAAAGGAGTAGGGTGGTGTCAAGCAGAGTCACATAACACTCCATCCCCATTTCTGCAAGCATCAAGCTGCCCTGCAAGGCTTGCTCTGTCCAGATTGCACTTTCCTAAACTAATTTTTAGACTTTTAGGTGCATGTTTTCTCTTTAAATACATGTAAATATTTCTCACTTTAACTCATATACTTGAACTCATTTAATATTCTGTCTTATTTTGTTAATAAACTTGTTTCACTATTAATTGAAACCAACAGTGGTGTGCTTGAATCAAAGTGAATGTTAACTCCAGTTAATGTGGCAAGCTGAAGCTCTGTCTCTTTAGAGGACCAAATGGGACTTATTGCTTCTCTGAATCATGCACAAGAGAGCTAGGCATTACAGAGCATGTGCTTTGATGGAGATTTGAGACTAAGGAGGTGTTGGGGTTACCTTTTTGTTTGTCTGTCACCATGGCTGGTGGTACCCAGAGTGTAATGGTGTGCGGTGGGCATGCTGCTGGGGTCAGAGTTGCTGGACAGAGCTGCAGCTATACATAGACACTCAAGGTGTGACCTGCATGCTTGTAGGCTGGTTGGCTATGTCTACACTGCAGCGCTATTTCAGGATACCAGAGGTATCTGCGTCTTTTGAGCATACCCATTATTTTGAAATTCCAACTTCCCTGTAAACTATTCCAACTTCCCTGTAAATCCTATGCCACGAGGAGCAAGGGAGGTTTCGGAATAGTGATTTATTTCAAAGTAAGTGTTGGGTAGACAGTGCCAAATTTTGAAATAAGCTATTTCAAAATAACATCAAAATAAGATACAAAATTTGCATAGCTCAAATTGCGTATCTTATTTTAACCTACGGTGCAGTGCAGACACACCTATTGTGAGCATCTCAGGCAGAGAGTTATTGTCACTCCACCAGAGTTCTGCCTCACATTGGTTTTTACTTGCAATTCAGGAAGTAATATAGCAGGGAAAAGTTAAGTGTAGCTGTACAGAATGGTGGGCTCATATTCACAGTTTATGTTTACTTATTCCTAGCTCTGTCTGGATCATTCATTTGGACATGTCTTCATCTATTCTACAAGTGTTCATTTACCCAACATATATGTACTTGGATTTATTATGGATGTTAAAATGTGTTTACTCGAGTAAACATGTAACCACTGAAAATGTCAGTGATTACACATTTACATTCCGGGGAAGGGGGGCAGAGAGGCAGGTCCTATGGAGCCACCTGCCCTCCCACCTATGCTGCTGTCTCTATATCACTATCACATTCCTGTGTTTTACAATATACTGCATTAGAAAATGATTCCTTCCTTATGATTAAGAAAATACATGTGTGAGTGTCTAAAGTATGTTTTTAAAAATAATTTTAAAACTATTAAAATTATTTGAGCAATACATTCATTATCATTATATTACATTGGCATCAAGTTGGACAAAGCATTTTTTTAAAAAAAATTCTCTTATAGCTGGTAGCAGTGTTTTGATGCTGATGCCTTTTCAGTTTGAAGAAGCCTTTTCTGCTAGCTCAGAATTGATTTACATTTGTTATTTTTAGAAGACATGGTAGGTTAAAAGTTTTCTTTCGTGTTTTAAACATCCTTATCTCTGTTAAGATCTGAGGTTCTTAGAACAGTTTTGTACTGCTTGTTTGCCTTTTACTCTACCCTTAGTTTGGACAAAGAAATTAGACTGGTCTGTTTTGCTTTCTGGTTTTCATTCACAAGCGCTGTGATTCTCAGACTGATTGGTGAATCACTTCTGTGGTATTCTGTGAAGAGTTGGCATGTTGGGCTGAATTTTCAAAGGTACCAGGCACCTAAAGTTGCAGATAGAGGCCAAGGGAGATTTTCAAAGGTGATTAAGACCATCATTTTTACTAGAGTGAATTGAAATCATTGGGAGGTAGCAGGGGTGGCCTGTCCATATAGGCGAACTAGACGGTCACCTAGGGCACCAAGTTAAATGGGGTGCCAAATGGTGGCGCAATATCATTGAGGGGTTTGGAGGTGGGGGTGACGATTGCATCGTTTGCCTAGGGTGCCAGTTGCTGGCAGCTAGTCTAGGGCCGCCTCTGGGAGGTAGGGGACTTTGAAAATCCTAGTAGGTGCCTATCTGCATCCATAAGCGCCTCAATAACATTGTAAATCTGGCTTATGATGCTGCCTCTACTTCACCTCCTTACTTGTCTCTCTGAGAAACAGAATAGATGGAAAAAGGAAGATGAAATCAAGAGAGTGTGACTAAATTACTTTCAGAAAAGGAAAAAATGCATTGAGGACATTTGCAAATAGCTTAAATAAGGATGTTAAATATTGGTTAATTGAATGGTTGATTAACCTCATGAATTCTTATCCATTAGTCGACTACTCTATAGTCCCTGGGAGGTGTGCTCTGGCCCCACTCCCAAAGAGCCCCCTGCCACTCCATGCTGCTGCCTCTGTATCAGAGGCAGCAGCGTGGGGTGCCAGGTGGGAGCTGCTCCGTGAGGGGAGCCACTTTAAAAACCAGCTCTCCTCACGGACCGGCTGCCTGTTGCCCTGCACTGCTACCTCTGATACAGAGGCAGCAGTGCAGGAGGTAGCAGTCCCTGTCTGGGGTGGGTCTGAGCTCCCAGACCTGGCGTGAGCCGGAACTGAGCCGGACTGCCTGCCTGCTCAGCTCCTAATATACTTTAAATGCACAGCTGCAGCAGGGGTAGGTCCCGGACCCAGTACAAGCTAGGACTGAGCTAGGCTGCTAGCCAGCCTGCTAAAAATGTACTGTTGCGTGGGGGGAGGAAATGCGTGTGGTCTATAGCATTAACCTATAAGCTTTTGCTTATCGGTTAACCTGCTAATCGACTACACTATTACACCCCTAAACTTAAATCCTTTCCTAGTATTTCACTTCCCTCTGAGCAATTGCTTTAGCTGCTATGGGGATTCTATGCCACTGTGAATGGAAGAGGAGATGGTCCGGGAAACAATCTCTCTGGTAAGATGTGGACCACATTAACATGCTGCAATCTCTGCAAACACTTCAGGGAATCTTTTAAAATGTTCTTAATGAAATTAAAACATTTCAGTTAATATCAGGTTTTGTAAAGCCTGTTTCCCAAAGGGAACAGGGAAGGAGCTCTTATAGACTCTCTGCATGTGTTTGTGGCTTTCTTTACTTGTCCTTCTGGCCCAAAGAAGTTAATCCCTTGGTGTACATTTAACATTAAATTGATAAATGTTTTTAATACAATGCCAAAATTCCCTTGTGCAGACAGTAAGGTATTAGATGTTTTATGTAATGTTTGTTTTGCTAGTCCAGACTGATGAGGAAGTAATATTACAGATTTGAATGTAATTTATTCATGTACTCTTATTAACAGATGATCCCTTAGCAGCTGACCTCAATTCCGATTGGAATGCTCCCACAGAGGAGTGGGGAAACTGGCTGGGAGAGGAGGATACATGCACAGGACCAGAGAGAGAGAAGGTGAGGGAATGATGTAAGTGAATGTGCCAGAATTGCCATGTTCAATGAAAAACAATCAAGGAAGAGCCTGAGTGGAAAGGGGCTGTAAATGAGCTGCTCCGCAGCGGAAGATCTTTCACCTCAGGAGATGATGACTGTGAGCTGACTCCTCTCTGACCCTTTGGGGATATCTAATGTTGCAGTGAGAGTCAGAGTCCCCAGCTGACACCGAGCTCCAGGCGGCGCTGCCTCGGTGTTTCAAAGTGGCAGTGCCACACGGTTGAGCTGGGGATCAGCTGTGCTGCACTGCCACTTTGAATGCCGCCTCATTCCACATGCCCTATAAGAAGCCATCTTTAGGATTGTGCACTCAGGACCTAAATTTTGGTACTTTTTTGCTCTCTTAACTGCAGTGTCTGATATTTCCCCCAGATTAACACAATGAGTGTTGCTCTATTTATGGCATCTGTTATAGGCCCTCAAAGGGTTATAGTAACAGCCTGGAATATCTGAAGTACAGCCAAGTCCCTATCCCCTCAACATGTCCCCTATGGTGGCAGTTACAAGGTGAGGAGGTGACTTAAGGTATCTGTACGCGTGAGCTAGAAGGTGTAATCTCCAGCGCAAGTAAACATACCCACATTGGCCTGCTAAAAACATAAGCGCAGCTGCAGTAGGCTAAGCTGTCCTGAACATTAACCTATTTGAGACCCTAGATCCAGTGATGATAACTCAACACCACTTGAGGTTTCTCCTATGCAAGGGGAATCCTCAGCTGTCCACTTACACTAGCTTTAAGTCATCTGTGCATTGCTGCAAAGATAGCTTTGGAAACAAATCAATGTGGCATGATTCCTAGACTTGGAAGGAACAAGCAGCTGGGTCCCATTTTTGCAGAAGGAGGCTTTGAGGTTGAAGAATTAAAAGATCTTTCACACATACACATTGGTATCAGTTAAGTTACTTCAATTTGGCATGTATCTCCAAGAACTGCCTTTAAAAATGACTCCAGAATCCTCAGGCCTCATTTTTAATGGTGTGAGCATGGTGAACAGGACTTGGTTACACTTGGGTGGCAAAACTATTTTTCAAGCTAAACAAATGTTGATGCTGGCTGCTGTGCAAGTTATTCATACAGATATAGAAATAATGTAATCTTACAAGTCAGAAATCCAGATATAGCTGCTCATCCCAATCTCTGAGCCTCATCAATGAGTTTTGTGGACTATTGCCAGTTAGCAACTTGCAGAATTATGGACTAAAATTAAACTGCTCTGTACCTCTCCCTGAAAGCATTGAGGCTATGTCTAGACTACAGGCTTCTTGCACAAGAAGCATTTTGCGGAAGAGATTTTCCACAAAAACTTCTTGCGCAAGAGAGTTTCCACACTGCAAAAGCACATCGAAAAAGTGATATGCTTTTCGCAAGAGAGCGTCCACACTGCCTGGATGCTCTCTCGCAAGTAAGCAGTGATTGCTATGGACAGAATGGCCACCAGGGCACCTGCGCTTTTTCCTCTTCTCTCCTCTTGTGCAAAAAACTCCTCTTGCGCATCCATACACACCGTTTTGTGAAAGAGTTCTTTTGCAAAAAGGAGTTATTCCTCATAGAATGAGGAATACCTACACTGGAAAAAATCCTCTCTTCTTTCATTTTACTTGCACAAAAATGTGCTGGAGGTGTGGACACTCTGTGAGCTTTTGTGCATAAATCTCTGTTTTTGCGCAAAAACTCTGTAGTGTAGTCCTAGCCTGAGAAAAAGGTATAATACTTTAATCCTGTCTAAAACAACTATGCAGTAGTTGGATAAATTACACACCATTAACTCAAATCCTTTTAAAATTAGATTTGCCCTATGTTTATTTTTAATTTCTAACTGCTTATAAATTGTATATTTGCATTTTCTCTTATTTATTCTTAAATCCTCAGCAAGGTTTAAAAATGAGAACAGAAGACATTTCAAGTGAATTGATATTTATGAAACACAGCAGAAATGCTATCTGTCCCTCTTTCAAAATACTCCAGGACCCTTTTAACAATTTACCCCATAATGGTGAGTGATTATTTTTACACTTTGGAGAACTGTGATTTCAGAAATGTGGTAATCCATCCTGTCTTTATCCATTTATTAGTTTTAACTAAAATGTTAATGGTCTTTTTTTTTAGAAGTATATGTTCACTTTTACAGAGAAGCACAATAACATTATTTAACCAAATGTTCTTTGTCAAGGTTTGCAGATGATACCAAGCTGGGAAGGGTTGCAACTGCTTTGGAGGATAGGGTTCATAATTCAGAATTATCTGGACAATCTGGAGAAATGGTCTGAGGATAAATAGGAGGAAATTTAATAAGGACAAATGCGAAGTACTCCACTTAAGAAGGAACAATCCATTTCACACATACAGAAGAGGAAGTGACTGTCTAGAAAGGAGCATGGCAGAAAGGGATCTACAGGTCATAGTGAACCACAAGCTAAATATAAATCAACAGTATGACACTGTTCTAAAAAAGGCACACATGATTCTGGGATGCATTAACAGGAGTGTTGTGAACAAGGCATGAGAAATCATTCTTCCACTCTACTCTGTATTCATTAAGCCTCAATTGGAGTATTGTATTCAGTTCTGGGAACCACATTTTAAGAAAGATGTGGAGAAGGTCCAGAGAAGAGCAACAAAAATGATTAAAGGTCTAGAAAACATGAGCTATGAGGGAAGGCTGAAGGATTGGGCTTGTTTAGTTTGTTAAAGAGACGACTGAGAGGGGACTTGATAGTGGTTTTCAGGTATCTAAAAGGGTGTCACAGGGAGGAGGGGGGAAATTGTTCTTATTGGCCTATGATGATAGGACAAGAAGTAATGGGATTAAATTGCAGCAAGGAAGGTTTAGGTTGGACATAAGGAAAAATTTCTTAATCGTTGGTGTGGTTAAACACTGGACTAAATTGCCTGGGGAGGTTGTGGAATTGCCATCACTGGAAATATTTAAGAGCAGGTTAGACAGACATCTGTTGGGGATGATCTAGATCAGTCTTTCTCAACCTTTTTTTTTTTTATAAAGTACTCCTTTCTCAAAAAAAAAAAAAAAAATTATAAGTACCCCCAGTACCTACAGTTTTCAGACACACAACATTTTTTTCTACCATTGCAACATATTTATTTGCTTAAATAATTGTAGCCAGGATGGCGATGAAATTTTTGGATGTAAAAAGTACAAAAATAATAAAGCGCTGTAAAACTTAAAACAAAAATTCAGTTTTCTCCAAATTTCAGTTGTGTTGATGTACCCACCAGACTTCTCTCACATACCCCTAAGGGTACTCGTACCACAGGTTGTGAAATACTGATCTAGATGGTGCTTGGTCCTGCCGTGAGGGCAGGGGACTGGACTTGATGATCTCTCAAGGTCCCTTCTAGTTCTGGTATTCTGTGTTTCTAAGGTCATATGCCTGCTTCTTTAGAAGTTAATGCCAAAATTCCCATGGACTTCAATGGGAGTAGGATCAGGGCCTGTGCAGGATTTTTTTTAACACAAAACAGGGTAACAGTGATAGATATGTACCCAATCCAAAGTGCTCTGAAGTTACTGAGGCCAGGTCTATACTAGACCTGTCATTTTGGCTTAAGGTACACAACTCCAGCTATGTAGACTACCGGATATTGGATCAGGCCTGGTGTCACGGCTCATTTCTCCAACCTGACACTCCGAGTGCAGAGATTGGAGAACTGGCTAGTATAATAAACTCTGCAAAACCTGTCTTGGTGACTCCCAAAGACAAACTTGTTCGATCTCAGTCCCCCTGAGATCCAAAACGACAAAAGACTGGTTCCTTGTTGCCACCTCCCCCAAGTGACTAAAAGAAAATAAAAAATAAACCCTTTTCCAGGAGAGAGATCACTTGGGATGTCCCCAAGTAAAGCTCTCCTCCCTGTCCCCAACCTCTGTTTTGCTTGGAGTTGGGAAAAAAACAGAGGGAATCCGCAGAGAACAATGGACTCTACGCAGGTAACTAGGCGCGTAAACCTAAGGACACAACAGTCAACCAATACCGGTTAATCAAAACAAAAGGAAAACTCTTTTATTATCAAAACAAAACTACTGTTACAAGCATAATAGGTGACTAGGTGTTAAATAGCCATGAAGTGACAGACTCAGGGAAAATCCCTGGGCTATAATCCTTAGTTACAAAAGAGAAAATCAATTAGTCAGCTCAGACATGATTTCCAAATCCCCAAACAAGGAAAACAATAAACCCTGATGGACTATCTAAACTTTTCCCTACTTACACATTTCAAGAAGTCGGTTCTTGGAGAGAGAGAGTGTCGCCCATCTCCCTCAATACCTGGGAGAAACTGCTCTGATCTCAAACAAGATGAGAGAAAGAAAATCCCCTCTTTCCCAGTTTGAAATTCCTATCTGCATTTTTATTGGCTGACTGCCCAAATCCCCTTCCTACGTGCATTTCAAATTGCTTAACCCTTTCTTCACTCTTCAAGTAAGTTAGACTCTCTTTATCAGCTCCTATTTATGACACCTGGTAAACAGGTTTCTATTGTTAAATATATATGTGTAACATGAAGGATCATACTTAAATTGTTGGAGTTTTGTCTAGCAACATGATTTCAGTGTGGAAGCTTTTTATAACCTATGCTGCTATTTGTATTGCAGATGTGCCTGTTAAAAAGGAGAGGCGGAAAAGGAAGAAAATGAGGAAAGAGACTTGATGGGGCTATGTAGCTGACAGTGTGAAAACCAAATAGCACGTGTGCTGATTAGCTGCAAGAGTTCTGCTTTCTGTGGTGATGCTCTGAGCCCAAAGCAAAGAGAGGATCTAGAAGAATCCCAATAAATGGGAGGAGAGGAGAACAGGAACAGTGAGCTGGAGAGGAAGAGGGAGAGTGTGTGTGTGACAGAGAGAGAGAGAATGAACCATATAACATGTGCTGAAGTTGGTGTTGAAACAGAATTGCTGTTCAAAACAACCCACTGTCCTTGATCACTTAAAGAAAACTATTAAGTAGGTTTTAGCCGATTTGCATTAAACCCTTCAGTGTCCTTTTACTTATCCACTTGTCACATTGCATGACATAGAATTAGCCAATCCATAAATATGCATGAATGTAATTAAATTCTATAAAGAATCCACCCTTTATTCCAGGCTTCATGTGCACTTTAGAATGTGATATGTAAAGTTGTGATCATTGACAGGTTAACAATGTACAGAAATTGGGTGGTATGTGCTACAGCGGTTGTAAATCATAAGAAAGCAGTTGTTAGACCTAAAGAAAGAACATCACCGTTCACTCACAAATAGCCTCTTGAATCTTTTTAACTCACTTCCGCTTTTGAAGTTGGATTTTTACCTAACCCAGTGACATTTTAATGTATTTCAGCTCTCACACAGACCAGCTAGCTCCAAAAGTGAACATTTCTAGAAGAGATTTTAATTTATTTAGAAAAGTTGTGTAACTTTTCCAGGGTTTGTGGTGAGCTAGAGTTTACTAGTCTGTATGTTCAAAGCATGATCCTTTTGCTACAACTTTACTTTAGCCTGAGAGAACCTGCTGAGGACTTTTTTCCAACCTGCAGTTTGGTAGTTTTTATCATTTTATTACTTAACTTCTAATATTAAAGAAAAGTATCTAGATGAAAGTAAAAAAAATGTTTTTTATGGTGAATGGCCTATACTTCACATCTTCAAACATCTGTTTAAAACAGAAAATATCCAATAATGAAATGTTCTATCTTAAATGCCAAGAGGCTGAGAAAGGTGTGAGATTGATACCACTGAAGCTCTTTATCCACACATAACTATAAATGCTTCCCTGTACTGCACAGATAATGTGCCTCAACTCTGATCCATTTTGGGAAGGCCACCTCAAGGGGTAAGATGTTAGTTATTCAGTGTCTGTATCCATCCAGCTCTGTGCCTCTGATGAAACTGCTAAAAAGGGTTCCAGTTACTGTTGGATGTAAAACGGACATTTGTTCCTAGACCAAAATCCTAAAACTTCTTTCACATAGGCCCGCCATCAGATGTTAGTAATGTGGAATCATGACCAGCAACTGGAACCACTGAACTAGAGGTAAAAACTTCCATTCATCAGTAACCAGAACCATACAACAAATAGTCTGGTAGCACTTTAAAGACTAACAAAATATGTAGATGGTATCTTGAGCTTTTGTGGGCACAGCCCACTTTTTCATTATACCATCTACATGTTTTGTTAGACTTTGAAGTGCTACCGGACTATTTGTTTTTTAAGTCTATCCTGTACAGGCTAACTCAGCTACCCCGTGAAGCTTCAGAACCAAACAGTCCCTGTTGCCAATGTATTTGTATAAGTGTAATTTTATCTAAAACTCTGAAAGCATACATGTTGGCTTTCACTCATGCTGTTGGATTTAAAGCATTAGTATCCCTTATAGAAACTTCTTCACAGAAATACTGTATTAATATATGTAAAAGAGCAATTATCCTGTGGTCTTAAGCACCTTTGACATAAATTAAAGATGCAGTTAATCAAAGTAATACAAGCAGCTAACTTAGTACCATAAAATGTCCCTCCCTCCACAGATAATTGCCCCATCTAGCCCCTTCCTGACATAGAACCAGAGATAATAACTGAGACTAGCAATATGACCTGAAGTGAACAAAACAGGGTTAGTTCAGTTAGTTCTCTGGGCATTTTCCCCTATCACATGGGATATTTTTAAGTAAGAACATTCAATAATAAGCTTTAGAATTTGCATATCTTGTATGCTTACATATCAGTTGGGGAAAACATTTGCAATTTATGAACGAGACTAATAAAGCAAACAATGTCTTCCCTGAAAAGCAGCTTGGTAATACCATTATGAATAAAATTAATAAAATACTTGGCCTTATTTGGAAAACAATACTGTGTGCGGAATGTGATTGACGTTAAGCTACTAAATAAAAGATCTGATTTTCACCGTGCAGCTCTCATATGTATCTTTGTGAATTCTTTTACACTCTCAGTCTTTAAGGGCTAAACATAAGAGCATAAATTTAGGATTTAGCAAGCAGATTAATAACATATGTAAATAAGAGGTGAAATTCTAGCCCCATTGAAATCAATGGCAAAGTTCCCATTCATTCCACCGTGGCCAGGATTTTACCGGAAATTTTCATTGAGCAACAGAAGATAATTCCATTGATGAATCATAGAACACTAGCACTGGAAGTGACCTCGAGAGGTCATCGAGTACAGTCCCTTGCCTTCAAGGCAGGACCAAGCTGTGTCCTTGGCCCTTGTAATAAAAAAGGAAAATATCCTAATCAAAGATGTAAGAAGGTAAGAAGGTTGGTACACCCAGAATTTCACCTACTTTTTTCTGTGTCTGTTTACAAATTTTGCAATGTTTATGTAATGCTGTTTTATTTCCAAAGTGAAATGTTTTATTTTTTTCTAATAAAAAATTTAAAATCAGTGGCAACAGTTGAGTAACTTCTGAGCAGTCTTCCAGTAATAAGGATGTATTAGAGAGAAAGATCCTCAGGGGAAAAAACTTTCCATCGAGGAAACGTTTCATTTTCAGGCTTCCTTGGTGATATTGTGAAATAGTGTTTCAAGAATGGGAAAATCTCTCCTTGCTTTTTTTTTGAAGAAAACATATGGAGGTTTTTCTTTTGTTAGAATAAAAGAACATATGTAGTGGGCATGTGACATTTACATGTACAGCTGAGAGTCTGACAGCAACAAGAAACAGATTATATATGGCCCAGTTCTGTCATGTTTATTAATACAACTCCCACTGAGTCAGCTGGACCGTGGCCACATTAACAAACTGTTAACCATATTTTCCCCATTAGTGCAACTTCCCCAGTGGTAATAAGTAGCCACTGTAATGTAGACAGAGTTCAGATGTTCATACCATTGTGTCATCTAACATTATTTCCTATTAATATGGAAATGAATAGTTATACAAAAAGCCATACTGAGCAGAATATATTCCCACAATTACAGTATTAATTGAGCATGCTCTCCATGCACAATTTCAAGGCTGATTGTAGGCTAGCCTGGTTTGGCTGTCACCACGGAAGGTGTCAGAGTTACTGTATGAGAAGTGGAAGAGCTAATCTAGGTAAGGGTCAGGTTACATAACTTTGGTGTACACTAGGGAGTTATTTTGAAATTAACTCCCCTTATTTTGAAATAATGGGCTGGTTATTTCAAAATAACTCCTGCTTTCCATGAGGAATAATGCTAATTTCAAAGTAGTTATTTTGAAATAGCGGTAGTGTGGATGTTCTGGTGCTGCTATTTCAAAATTACTACTCCCCAGAGTAATTCAAACTAATTACTCCCCAGTGCTTCCTGGAGCTCTAAGTTGAGGTAGTACATCCACATTAATGGAGCCAACCCTTGGACTAATTTCAAGGCTTCCCTGTAGTGTAAGCCTGCAATTTTGAAATTATTATTTTGGGAGCTATTATTTTGAAATAAGTTATTCTGAAATAATTTCCTAGTGTGGGCATGTCCGTAGTTGTAAAACTACCTGACTTCTGTCTTAACTACATCTTTCATTATTGCTACTTTGTGTGGAGCTGCACAGCCTAACCAAGATTTTCAAAACTGTGTCGGAGTGTGACTGACATTAAGCTACTAAATAAATAGTCTGATTTTTTCACCATGCAATTCTCATAAGTGTCTATGTGCAGGGCTCACCAAGCGGCGGCGAGCCCCACTCGCCAGCCGTGCAGAAGCGCATGCACTGACCACGCTGCGTGGTCCCGCCAGGCTAAAATCTACTCGTCACGTGCAAGTAGATTGCTTGATTTGTCGAGCCCTGTCTATGTGAATTCTTTTATTCTCTCAGGCTACGTCTACACTTAAGGCTTTTTGCGCAAGGGATCATTCGGAAAAGGCTTTATTTTCCTAAATATCCGTGTCTAGACTGGCGCTTTTTTCCAGCAAAGCTCTGTGCAGAAAAAAGCGGCAGCCATTTTTATGCTAATGAAGCGGGGGAGATTTAAATCCCCGCTTCATTAGCAATTGCAATACGTCTAATTTGCATCCCTTTTACGAAAAAGGGATGCAATCTAGACGTAGCCTATATGTACTGTATTTGTCATCAACAATGGCCTACTTCATAATACTTTGAGAACTTTTTTTTAACTACACTCTGAAAAGGTCAAGAATTTATCCTGTAACTCTGGCATGAATCCACACGGATCAGCCCCAGGGACCTTTTTGAAGCAAACAAATTTTCAGTACCTGATAAAATGTCTGCTTGCAAATAGCTATTATCTTACAAGGAAGTGCAGGTATGTTAGATTCCTCACTCCCAGGACTGATCTTCACTCTGGCTAATCAGGCAAAAGACTGCTTAACGCTGTAATGAAATTGAGTCTATTCTGTTGTCTATATATTGTCTAGTTCTGGCCATCCAAAGATTCCCAAAGACTTGGTAAACTATTTTTCTTTCTTACTGTGATATAAAATGAATGCAGTTTTTTCCTCTCACGGTAACTGCATTTATGGATGTGATCCTGGTGTAATAATTATAGAGCTATGTGATAAATACAATGATCATGCTCTTGACTGCATCCTCTCCAGCCGGTTTCTCCCCCGGAGCAGCTGCCAGCCAACCCTGCCTCCACTAGGACCCGAGCAATGCCGGGTAAATACTCTCGTTCAATAAAATAAGGACTTTTTTTTAAGGAACCAACTGCAGCCTCTTTGGGAAGAGTGATAGAAATGTAGCCGTGCTAGTCTGGGGTAGTTGAAGCAAAATGCAGGACAATGTAGCACTTTAAAGACTAACAAGATGGTTTATTAGATGATGAGCTTTCTTGGGCCAGACCCACTTCCTCAGATCAAATAGTGGAAGAAAGTAGTCACAACCATATATACCAAAGGATACAATTAAAAAAATGAACACATATGAAAAGGACAAATCACATTGCAGAACAGAAGGGGGATGCGGGG